CTGTGCTTAGCTGGAAAAACATTTTGATTAAAATAATGTATAGAAGTTACAAAAGCTGTCAACAGAAGTGAGCGTAACTTGCAACCAAACGTTCAATATGTGAATTAACATTTCCTGCTGACTGTGCGCTCAGCCAGAAGTCGTTTCATTGCACGAAGCAAAAGAGCAAGAACTTTGCCAAATGGATGGCTTGGAAATTAATTGGTATGAGGAATCGTTTAATAAACCAAACAATCCTTACGTAAGGAGTGATTATTTTTTACAGCAATTACTCCATCTGCTAGCTGGAGTTTGCATGGCTGGTGCTAAAGTTTCTACATATGACCTTCATCTACCCTTGGATTTCACATATTCTACTCTACAGGAGTCATGGAAGACTGCAAGGAGATGGCACAGACGTTAATGGAGAATCACTGGATTCTAAGTTCTGTTATCTGCTCTTGGCACCCAAGGGATGGTGTTTATTTTGGTATACATTAAAATTCACATTGTCAGAATGTTTACTCGAGTTCTACAGACTATTTTTTCCTCAAGAAGTATGAAGGTATCATACTTCAAATATATCATAGGGCTAGTGATAGGTTTAGGGGGGTTGAGGTAAGAGTCCGAGACCGGGGTCAATAGGGAAATCAAATATTTTGGTGCTTTTCTATAATTCTGTAAAGATAAGCACAAAGTATGATAGAATTTATTAAAGGATAATGTTAGGATTAGAAGTGTTGGAGTTAGTGTTAGTTTTTGGGTTAGCATTTATAGGTCAACAAGATTTTGGAACTTTTTTGTAAACATTATTGTACTATTGTATATTTGTGATCTGCACATCTGTTGTATAGAAGGAATTTCTACAGATCACTAAAACCTGACAGTTGGCTGGTCTGTACACAAGAATTTGCAGCTAGTGTAGGCTTCTCAGCACAACAGTGTTTGCCAAGTTTGCCGATGTGGTCAGCAACCCAAAGGTGAAATTGTCAATGATGTTAAGCAGAGCAAAGAATACCTCTCCAAACAAAGTAGTGTCATGAAATGCTGATTAAAATGTTGCCTGACCTGACCATCCCTTCTTGACTGAGCCAAGTAGAAAATACATTTAGAAAAATGCTATACAAAGATGACCTCATTAGCATATCAACAGTGAACCTGATCAAGTTACTGTGCTCTCAAGCTGGTTGTTAGGCTGGGTACTATATGTGAAGTCTTTACCTACCTGTTTAAAGTCGATGAGCTATCAATAGGTGCTTGGATATGAGGTGCACTGCCGGTCTGGTTTTATTGACTATGGAACGATTTTGTAACAGCTGTTTTGAGTTATGAGTACAGCAGTGCCTGTGGCCCCGTACAATGCCTACTTACAAGAAATAACTGTGTCTAAGATGCAACAGTCCTCTTGTAATTTCTGAGTGGATTATTTTAAGAGTAATTGCATTTTCATACGAGAATGGGAAAAAAAAAAAAGGAACAGATCTGCAAAAGAGCTATGCAAGACACTAAACAGCAGTTTGGAAAGATGTTTTTACGCTGCATTGTTGACCTGTGAATCTCAATCTGATGTTATTATTACAGCAAAAAGCATCTCAGTCTGGCAACACATTGATCATTAGTCTGTTTTTAATCATGTTAATGGACTGTGCACACAGCCAGACTGTAGTACTTACCTCTAAGCTGAAAGAGAGGACAACGTCAGACTTGGAGAGCTGATTTTCATTCTCTTCTCCCATGTCTATAATGGATGTGTTGTGGCTGCGTTTCAGCTTCTGAAGCTTGAATTCAGAGCCGCCCTTTGACACTGGCATGCTCTCCAAATTTGCCATTAGCAGATTAACAGAAGATTTGAGCTCCTCAATATACATATTTTCCATTTCTTTTGAGACAAATTTGGGAAATTTGCGCTCCTGCAGTAAAAAAAAAAAGTAAATTAAGGCATGACATTAAATACAAGCAATCTTAGAGTATTCTTATATCAATATACTGTTTATCAAGATATGTCAATATATACCAAGATATATCAAGTCAAATACACTCAAGACTACACTCATCATTGGGTGCACTTATTTAATGAAAAAACAATGGGAGATGTAAAAAACCCCATTTAACCTAGTTATGTAAAATAAATCCTTAAGTGTATTTCTAAATAGCACCACAGTAAGCCCTTATATAAGCTTATGCAAAGCAGGATTCATATAGGGATAGGTTGGGGCAGCCTTGTAGACCAACCAGGCTTGATTCTATAGTAGTGCACATCACAGCAATCACAGGCTGAGGTGTGGTTCTTGACCAGAATTATAGCTTTTAATGCAGGAGGGTGGTCAGATCCAGCTGTGCTATCTGGCAGGGACATTCTGATTAGAAAAGTAGGTAAGACATGTAAAACAGCAGTTTGACTTAACTTCCACGTTAACATAATCTCGGATGTTTTCTTGGTGGTTTCCAGAGATCTACAGTTGACAGTATCAGACTGAGCCTTTTTACAACCAAGCCAAAAATCCAAATCTGGATCTATATAGGTAAGGATTTAACTTTTTTGCCTGCCAGGGTTTGGTTTGCAGTGATCTTTGGATGAAGAGAGATGAGGATCGGGGAGACCTGCCTGGAATGTATCATTTCTGCCAATTTATTTATTTCTCTATATATAGTAATATTGGTCCACCAACCTCCCATGGTTGTGAAAGGAAGCTCTCACTATAAGTATTTGATTTGTTATTATGTGGAGTGCTTCAGGGTGACGGGAAGGGGAGCTAAGTTCGTAGTTCCAGGGAATGTCACCATGGGAATCCATATGATTTCAGGATGATGGCTCACCAGCATCTACAGACTTCTAAAACTACCTTGATGACGGATGTTAACTATTTAACATAATACTTTTATTACAAAATGGCGAGCATAATGTGTCCAGGGGGGCAGTACAGTGGGATAGTGGTTAACGCTTCTGTCTTGCACTATCACTATTTGCAAGGAGTTTGCAAGTTCTCTTTGTGCTTGGGTACTCCAGTTTCCTCCCATACTCCAAAGAAATGCCGGAAGGTTAATTGGCTCCTGTCTAAATTGTATATATGATTGTGAGATAGGGACCCTAGATTGTAAACTCCTCGAGGGCAGGGACTGATGTGAGTGCTATGTAAAACTCTGCATAAATTCTCAGTGCTATATATATATATATATATATATATACTGTATATCTGTAATAAGATATAAAATGAGTCTGAGTATTTAAGAAATATACTTACCCTTGCAATTTGATCTGCCATTTGTAGACGACCATCTAATTCACGTCTTATCTGGGCAGCTTGTTCATCTGGATTGTCCAACTGTAGAAAAAAAAAAAAGTATAAGAAATCTAATAACAGTATTGCAGTCTAGATCAGTAAAGCACAGCAAATAATTTAATGTATGCTTCTTCTCAAATTGGTTAAGAATATTAGGACAAAAGGCATAAAACAATCCAATATATACTATATTTGTTTAACAGAGAAGTCTTTATTTGGTGGGGATGAATGAGTTTTTAACAACTGGATCTTGGTTTGTATGTGAATTTAGGTTAATCCCAATCCTTTTACTTCCCACTATGACCCAGTATTAATATTTGTTATAAAGAAACTGTAGATGCTGGTGAGCCACCATCCTTAAATCATATAGATTCCCATGGTGACATATTCCCAGCTTAGCTCCTCTTCCCCTCACCCTGGTGCACTCCACATAATAACAAATCAAATCCTGACAGTGAGAGCTTCCTTTCACAACCATGGGAGGTTGGTGGAGCTAGGTACTCAGGTGTGGAGATCACTTTGCTGGAGTCCCCAAAGATAAATCAAAACACCAGCATTTATCCAAACCTAATATATTAGCCTCAATTTGACTCTTTAAAAGCCACTGCCCCCTTTATTCCAAAGTGTCCAAATCAGACTGATCCAGATATAAATGGTGTGGTCATCTCTTTGGGATGTCACAGCCATAAAAAAAAAAATAGAGTAGATATACAGTACAAGGGAAGAATTTATACACATTACACAATAAGAGGTAAAAGCATTAGATCACATACACAAATCCTACACATCGATTGTGCAATATAATGTTATTAAAATGTATCCTATGTTAATCTGCAGCCACTGAAATTTTGTAAACCAAAAATCCAATGCAATATGGGAATGTGGAGGTGTTCAGTACACCAGTGGACATGTAATTTCCTACTTGTGTGATTGGCTTACTGGTTTTCTTATAAGTCTGCATAGACATACAAGCCAAATTAGGTATATCCTTTAATGGTTTCATTTTTGTTAAGATGCTCCTTTTCTTATTCTGAATGGAGAAACCTGGTGGATGACCAGCAAAACATTTCAAGAAAAATAAAGCAAGTCCAGTTGCCTTGATTTATTTTTTACAGTGTGACAGGACAGTGCAGTGTCACTATAGTGATTTGTGTGTTTGGCGCCCAGGATTCTCGGCCAGAGGGGCTGAGAGGGTCCAGAAAACATTTAGGGGTCTATTCACGAAGCTGCCGAAGGATCTGGCCGTAGCTTTGGCCGATCCTTCGGCTAGCTTCGGCTCCAGGACCCCTTCGGTTCAGTAGAACCGAAGGGGTGCTGTACGGGCTATTCACAATAGCCCGTACAGCTCCCGATCATGGCCGAGCGGCTCAGCCGAGCCGAACGCATATACATCGACTAAGAGAGTGGACAAAGAGGAAGAGGCAGTCAGTGGTGCAGGAGTACATGCAGAGCATGTGAGATTGTGTGTATGTGACCCACGAGACACTGAGCTGGAGTCTGGCTGGAGAGGCCGAGAGGGCCTGTGGCACACGCGGTGTGTGGGTGAGGCCAGGAGGTTCTGTGGCACACGAGGTGTGTTTGGAAAGGTCGGGAGGACCATCGTCACACAAGGAGGTGTGAAGCTGCTGGGTGTCTGGCCATGAGCTGGCTGAGGCTCTAACCCTGAGGTGGGGCATGATACCAGTGCTGAGCCATATCTTGGATATTGCTGGAAGATACACATTGTTTATGTTTGTTTGCTGAAAAGAAGCAATGTGAGTTGTACTGTTTGGAAGAGAATAAAGTTGTTATGTTCCAAAACCACCTGGATAAGGATCCTTAAATACCCTAAACATTACAACAGATATACCATGACCTGGAAGAATAAGAACCTTCAGAGACAAAGGGAGAAAACATTTAGTAATCCAGCCCTCTAGCCCAACGATAATGGTAGCATTCATGTGGGATTTTTGTTCATATTTTATAAGCAAAGGGAGACAACATTTAGTAATTCATCCCTCTATCCCAACGACAATGGTAGCATTTATTTCGGATGAAACCGAAGGTCATGTATTATTATATTTACTATGATTATGACTTGCAAACATCTCTGAACATTTTATTGAAGTGCGTTTTCCGGAAGATAAGCATGCAGCCACAAGCTGTTCCTGCCATAAAGCACAGTTTATTAAAGTCTGTCTGCAGCCATATTGGCTTTGGATAAATTAATCCTTTTTTAATAGAGTTACATTTCGGTCCTGTGGGGTTAGCCTCCCCTTCTAAATCTGAACAGTATGGCAATCATTTCATGAGATGTTTAATCCTCATCACGGTTGTCTATCTCAGGCCTCAAGGGTCACTGGCTTGCCACTAATTTGGAACTTTCCTAATTAATGGGCAATCAATCAATTAGTGCTTTAATGTACATCACTCAGTCAAAGTCCTTGGTGGTATCACTCTGATCACATGACTACATCACTCTCCATCATAAAGAATAAATCAATATTCATAAACTGAATTTTGTGTAATATGAATCTAGTCCACACCTATGTTTTTCTTTTATAACAAGCATGCTGATATGCTTTCAGCATCGGTTTTTATATTTGTTGAATTGTATGTAGAGCCAAAGTTTTTTAGTCTGGAATAGAGTAGGTAAGAGTTAAAAACCCTGATTAGGTTATTTTTTCCTGCATGTGTCCAACTAAGGAAACTACTCTTTCCGAAACAGAAACGCATACATAGTCATTCCAATTGTTTTAAATGAAGCAAGTTCACTCCTATGCATTCAGTTCCAGAGCTTTTAAAAAGGGTTCAGCAGCATGCTTTTTTTTTGCACCCAAACACATCAAAAACATGTAAAAAGGCATAAAAACTGTGTATAAACACATATACAGAAACACATCCAGATCTGGTCTGGAGATGGTGTAAACAAGCCCTTAACCTGGTGATCCTACCAGTTTCAGCACCGGATCAGGCATCAGGCATTCGGGAAAAAGCTAATAATGCTGCAAGATTGTTTGAGACATTCCAATGGCATTGTCACCCTCTTCCTGCATTCAGAGCATGCTGGCACATATTCTTCTCTAAATCTATGGGGAGCAGCGACACCTGAGGAACTGAAAGAGGAAGTGATGTGGAGGCCTCCTACAGTTACCAAAAACTGTAGAACCAGCACACGATGATCTTCCAAAGAAATACGAACTTCATTCCATATGCATCTATAAAATTACCACCCCCGGTCATCAACAAAGTGATTGAGAACAGAGTCAGAGCGTTACAATAGGTAAACACGATAACCAGGGGGAAAAATTATTCTTGAACACCTAACTGCATTGTCACTTTAATGCTCGACATGCACTACACTAAGATTTGTATCTGAAACCTTTGCAACTACTTTAAAGCTAAAACATCAGTTCAACCCTAACTGGTTGATGTCAATGCACTAAATCACCCTCCAACTTCTTAAACCTGTCATTGGCACATTACCTGCACCTGGATTCCCAGCTTGGCCTACTTGGTGTGGCCTGTTAGATATTTGGGGTAAATGCAGGAAGAAAAATGATTTAGATAACGTGACACTAAACTCAGGAGCTTAATCTTAAAAACGCATTCAAGTACCCTTACTATTAACATAAATGTACCTTATTTGTGTATCACTCGGCTATAGATCCTCAAATCATCTCTGAGTTGGTGCGGACACTGTCCTTCCTTCTGAAGGGTGGCTACTTGTGTTCACCCTTAAACCCTGTTTGTGTTGTAAAGTAGCCACCACCAGGACCGGATTTACTCTCCCAGCTGCCCCAAGGCCAGGTTCCTCAATGCACCCCACTCCCCGCCAAGATCACTTGTAATCAAACAAGTGGTTTCCCCATTCTACATTTAGCCCTGCTTGTGCAGAGCAGGGCTAATGGTAGAAAACAAATTACCACCCGGAGCCCGGAGCTGCATGTCCCGGGCATCGTGAAATTTAAAACCCCTGCTCCCTGCCGCCCCAAGGCCGAGCCTCGGTAGCCTTGTGGGGAATCAGGCCCTGGCCACCACTCCAAGATCGACTACCATGATGGACTACAATCTCACGTGTAGTTTACTAATTTGTATTGAGATTGTATTCCATCACAGGAGCAAGCTTGGAGCAGTGGCTACTTTACAACACACAGGGACCCTGGGGAACAAAAGTAGCCACCCTCCAGAAGGAAGGACAGTGTCAGCCCCAATTCAGAGATGATTTGGTGATCTACAGCTGAGTGATATAGAAATATATACCAAGAAAAAAGAAAGAAAGGGGCTTTTAGGTGACCTCTGGAGAATTCCCGGGGAAATTATATAGAAATATGTAAGAGTCCAGATATAGAGTTTCTGCAGAAGCACACAAAAGTGGTCAAGCTTATTTTTTTTTTACTTATCTTTATTTTTAAGCGGTGTAGTTATGATACGGAGAAACTTCTGCCCGTATTTGAAGAAAATCCATTAAATATAGAAATGTTTCTAAAAAGAACTTTGCTTTATAAACCAAAAGACAAACAGTAGCTGGAAACAAATCCCATTTTAACTTTATTCACATATGCCTTGGAATTGCTGTTTGGTTATTTAATGCACTCTTTGTGAAGCTGTGTATTCTGAATTTGCCATATTTTAGAAGCTTCTGTAGATGCCTGCATAAAGAAATAATACTTCAATATTTCATTCTTTTCCTCACAGTCTTTTTTTCATCAAAGTTGAGCATTCCTGAATAGATTTAGTTCTACACAGAGACAGACTTCCAAAACATATTAATATTAAAAGGAAGGTCAAATTAAATTTAAAAAAGCGTCCACATATGAGGTTTCTACAAGAAGGCGGTAGGATGGTCCCACTTATTATATATATAGATATATATCTATATCTATATATATATATATACTGTATATCTTTAAAGGTTGGAAGAATAGGCAATTATCTATCAGCTTTTATCTATCAGCTACATTTAAAGAAGTACTCCCGAATTTTACAAAATGAACCCTTGCAGTACAGCTACCCCTTCACTGAAAGGGTTAACTGCTTATTTTCTCTAGGCGGCAAAAATA